CTCACAGGTACATGACAAATGAAATTTACTAGATGACACATTCCAGTGTAGGAAATGAACCAGTGAAATTACTTTCTCCAAATGCAAGCCACCTTCATCGAAGAGTAGCTCTCCCTCCTCTGGTATGATATTCAAAACCTAGACAAGTGTGTTGTATTTGGTGACTAGGATACATACGGGTTATGATGTCTGGTGGTTACAGCCTGGGGTTGGGCTATGGTCACCATTTTTTCATGTTATTACAAAAAGGAAAGAGTCTTTTAAATTGTTACAGCAAATGCTTTGTTTCTATGGAGAGCAGAGCTGAGATGTAATAATTATAGCTCCAATAAATTCTATGATTATGACAATCAATTCAGTTTAGCTATTTTGAAGATCACAATCAAACTAAAAAAAAATCCTACTCAAAGAAGATTTTGTACAGGCATGTATAGCAAATGCCTGTTTGGAAATCCCCAGTTGCAGAGAAAAATAAGAAAGAAAGAATGGTGATATTATAAAAATGTCAATCATTTAAATAATATCTATTTTTATGTTATGAAACAACTCATAAATGAGTGGTGGACCATCCTCACAGAGAGAACTCAGCTATGTGCAGACCTAGGTGACTACAGAGGCTTCTATGAAGCCCTCAAAGCAGTGTATGGCCCAACTCACTGGGTCCAGAGCAGATGGACAGGCATTTTTCACAGACAAGGCCTCCATCCTGAGCCATTGGTGTGAGTACTTCCAGGCCCTCTTCAGCGCTGACAGTCATCCAGGACCCGGCAGTTCTCCACTCAGCAACCACTCAAGGCAGAAGTGGACGAACTACTCTCTGTAGAAGAAATTACCAAAGCCATAGAGCAGTTGAGGAGTAGTAAGGCAGCGGGAGTCAACGGGGTTCCACCAGAGATCTGGAAAGATGGAGGACCAGCATTACACAGCAAGCTCCATGAACTCCTTGTCTGGTTTTGGGAGCAGGGGAAACTTCCAAGTGACCTCCGCGGTGCAGTTATCATCACATTGCACAAAAACAAGAGAAAAAAGTCAGATTGCTCCAACTAATAAGGGATCATTCTGCTCTGATCATGGAGTGCCTCGGCTGCCCCCCAAAATTCCTAAACATGGTCATCCAACTGCACAAAGACCAGCGCAGCCAAGTCAGGTTGAACAGCAACCTATTCATACCCTTCCCCATCGTCAATGGCATGAAACAGGGTTGTGTTCTGGCACTGACTGTTTTGCATCCTTTTTCAGCATGATGCTTACATAGGCCACAGAAGACCTTGATGATGGCAATGCTGTGTATATCTGCCACTGTCTTGATGGCAGTCTGTTTAACTCAGGAGACTGCAGGCCCACACAGACAAGACACTTGAGCAGCGGTTCCATGACCTCCTCTTTGCTGACGACACTGCCCTAGTTGTGCACACTGAAAGAGCTATGCAGCATCTAACATCCTGCTTTGCAGAAGCTGCCTGGCTCTTTGGGCTAGAGATCAACTTGAAGACTGAGATCCTCCACCAGCCTGCACCCTGAGAAGAGTACCACCCTCCCCACATCACCATTGGTGAGACTGAGCTGAAAGCAGTTCACAAGTACACTTACCTGCGGTGTACCATTGCATCAGATGCCAAGATTGACAGGGAAGTAGACAACAGACTGGCCAAGGCAATCAGTGTGATCAGCAAACTCTACAAGAGTCTGAAACAGCAAGCATCTGAAGAAGGGCACCAAGATTAGCGTCTATAAAGTCATCGTACTCAACTCCCTGCTGTACGAATCTGAGTCGTGGGTAACCTACCGCTACCACCTAAGACTCCTTGAGTGCTTCCATCAACGCTGTCTCCATACCATTCTCAATATTCACTGGAGTGACTGTATCACCAACGTTGAGGTCCTTGAACAGGCAAAAATCACCAGCATTGAAGCCATATTGCTGAAGTCACAGTTACATTGAGCAGGGTACAGTTCCAGAATGGGGGAAAAAAAATCGCCTGCCCAAGATAGCCCTGTATGGCATACTCTCCACTGGCCACCGTGACAGTGGAGCACCAAGGAAGCGTCATAAGGACTCCCTCAAGAAGTCCCTCGGTACCTGCCACATTGACCATTGCCAGTGGTTGACACTTGCTGCTGACTGTTAAGCCTGATGCCACACTGTCCACTAGGCTGTCTCCACCTTTGAGGACTCTCACAGGGCCAACTTGAAGGAGAAATACCGTGGGAGGAAGGACCAGGAAGCCTCAACAGCCATACCAGACTTTTAATTGCAGTCACTGTGAACAGACTTGCCTGTCCCATATCGGCCTAGTTGACCATTAGTGTGCCTGCAGTCAGCATGGACAGCCCACTTCATAAATTTTTGTTAGCAAAGCCAAGCCAAGAAAATTTTCATGTTATGTAATCATCCACAAACAGTATGAAGAACATGCCAGAGTTATCATTACCAATATGATGTAACCTATCATAAAATACTACAACTGTCTTATAGGTTTCACAGTTGAGTAATAATAATAATCTTCTGACACACTTTAGAAATTTTTTTTTTTTTTTTTTACACTAAAATCATGGAATTCCTATTTGGAAATATTTATGCATTTTGAAGTTGATAAAACAAAAATATTCATGGCACTGTATTGTTTTTCAAGGCTACTTAATTTCAGCCATGGTCATTTTCTGTTGCTATAGACAACTGTAAAATTCAAACACTATTATTCATTTGAGTGACTTGCAGCAGATGGATAAAATTTTTGCTTTGCAAACAAAATCACCTCCAGAATCTTCAAGGTTAAAATTCAGTGTTGTTGTTCTCTTAGACTGGTTGCCCTGACAAGATTACAGGCTCCAATCTGATCTACTATTTTACTCATAGCTGTTGGAAGATATGGATTCCTGCCTTTCCCAAAGTCATAAGTGTGAAGTGCATGCAGCAAGAATTTGAACTTTATTCACCAATTCCATTACACAACGTACATATCCATATTCAGGAAAAAAAATGGTTGACATAAGTTTCAGTTAAAGAAACTTTGATCCATCACAATCATAAGATTTACAAATGATACAGTGTTGATAGCAGATACAAAAAGGAAACTACAAGAACTCCTACAAGAGGTAGTGAAGGAACGTGATAAGAAAGGGCTAAACCGCAACTCCAACATGCAAATTACAAATTGTAGATACCAAAATCAAACAAGTATGATTTAAATATATAGGAAATGTTTTAACAGAGGACAGAAAATGCAATACTGATATCCAGAGTTACATTGGGATAGTGAAAGTTGACTTCCAAAATATTAGCAAAGTATTAAGAAACGGGAAAATTTTATCAGAAACAAAGAAAAAAACTACTGAACTGTTATGTAATACCAGTCCTCCTATATTGCAGTGAATGAAGGATAATCTCCTCAAAGATGAAGAACAGAATTGAAGTAACAGAAATCTGGTTCTACAGAAGGATGCTGAGAATACCATGGACTAAATATGTGAGCAATAACAAAGTTTTAGAGAAAATGAAAACAAAAATAACATTTATACTTAACATCAAAAAGAAGTAGTTGAAATTTTTAGGGCACATTGTGAAAAAAGAGGACTTGGAAAATTTGATACTTACAGGAGAGACTGAAGAGGGACAGAGAAAAAACAACAGATAACCTACTTAGTGAGGTTTAGGAGTGATAACAAAAGCACAAAATTTATTAAGTTACAAAGGACAGGAAATTGTAGAGAGCCATGATCATTAACACCCTGAAGGGATACAGGACATAGAAGATATGTTTGCTAAAATGACCCATGTTTGTGTAAGAAAAATGAACAAAAGAGAAAGATCTGCAAACCTAGAGCCTCAAATGGCTGCAAACCTTTCTCCTGCAGTCATTGTGAAAAGCATGTCCCTACCATGTAAGTCTCACAAACCACCTTAAAGTTGGCAAGACAAGGAAGATTTGTTCATTTTGTTTAATAGCATATCAACTCCCTGTGAGTCATTTAATGCCAAAATTTAATTTCTTGGGGAGTTTTGAAGTAAATATATATTATTCTGCTTTCATGGTAGATGATACTCAGCTTTTGTATATACACATGTTTGTGTGAATATAATTACTAGAGGCAGTGATGTATGTTTTTATGTTGTTTTGTTGAAGTTGTATTTTGGAATACAGTTTGATTTCTTTAAGAAATTGTAGGATATTATATGGATTAATGTCATGGAAGAGTTCTTTCATGTTGGTGGTTGTTTGGTTGATCTAAATATTTTGAACCCAATTGCACACCTTCAACTACAGATAAAATGTATTGTTGGTAATTCTACTATAAATATGTATTGCTGGTATTTTTATACATTAATAATTTGTTGCTTTTGTTTGGGGTTCAATATTTGCCTATAGCTGACATAAACAGGCATATGAAACTCTAGTGTATCTTTGAATTCCTCCATGCAGAAAAAAAAATCTGCATCCACTGACACTTGTTAAACATTTGTGGAAACCAAACAGTGCATGCAAGCACAATTAGTGAGTAATGCATCTTATATAGTGGCAACAGTGATGCATGTGACAAAGTGGATCACTACTGCTAGTACAACTTGAAGGCTATTGCTCTTTAGTGAGAGAAATGCATAGATCAATGGTGATGAGGAAAAAATTAATTGTATTTTAAGCTGAAAACTTGTGCTAACCAATTGTTGTATAGGGTACACTTTCTGTTGAAATAAATAGAATGTATTACTTTCAGAGCATCCTTCAGATAACAGTAGATTAGACCCAAAATTTTCTTTTTTTTTTTTACCCATGTAGTTCTTTTTCTGTTAGGTTTTAAAATCTTACAAAAGAATAATCAAGTAACAAGACAAAACTTGATCACCTACTTTCATGGTGATATATATATATATAAAATCAAACTCTAAAAGATAAAATTTATATACATTCCAGAAGTATAGTTCAACTTTCTGTATAAGAAAAATTCAGTGGCTAGCATTTGAGAAAAAAAAATCAATAACAATGAAATAAAATTTTGCTTACCTAGATTCACTCCATTTTTTGTATAAAAACAAGTGTTTTCAATGAGATTTACACAACATCCAATGACATCACCTGTAGTAAATGTGGGACCATAGGGTTGGCCAGTGCCCGATGAGCAAAAAGAATTACCATCATCGCCATGGTAACCATAAGAATTCTTGTCCCACCCTTAAAAAAAAAAAATAAATAAATAAAAAATAATTAAATTCAATGCACAAGGATTATGAAATACCAATATTTATCTTACAAACACTAAACATTAAATAATAAACAAACCCTTATAAGATAAATTATATTTTATAGAATAGATGGACATTTTTAGGATTTTTAATAAATTTTTCCTTTTTTTTGATAAAGCTTAATAGCAAGATCGTGTGTGTGTGTGTGTGTATATATATATATATATATATATATATATAGTTGTAAACATGTATACACAAAGTTGACACCATCTGGAAAAGATATTCCAGAAATAGTCTTAAAAACTAAAAAAAATCATATCAAGAGAAAGGTTTACAATGTGATAGGGGAAAAAAAAGAAAAAGTTTTTGGCATAACCAATTATCAATGATTGTAGCTAACTAATGCAATCTTGGTTTTCAAGGAGCAAAAACAAAAGTTAAATGACAAAAAGTGCTTATTAAAAAAATAAAAAACAATCATAATAAAAGAAAGCAAAGAAACGTCTTACAATGCATCACAGAATGATATATTCTTTCCTACAATACCATGACAAAAAAAGATGAGAGTTTTTTAGGGTTTTTTTTTTTTTTTTTTAATTATGTTTGTTAAATAAAATTACCATTTTTAATCAAATATTTTACAAGATAAAAATATCAAAGAATAAAATACACCAATAAAGCATGAAAAGTACCACAGTCAAATGATAAAAATGTCAATTATTATTATTAATAAAAAGAAATGATCAGATATTTTACAATATTTTTAAAATAATATTGTAAAATTATATTTAGATACATTCAGGATGAGTATTTGACATTGACAAAATAATGTAGCAATGTTTTATCTTTGGAAATATACACAAAACAAAACAATCTCTATCACAAGAGTAAATTTCAAAAAGATGATAGATGCTAAAATAATTACAAAATATTGAAATGATGTCTTCTGAAATCAATGTTATATTAATTATTGATTCATGGACAATTTCATTTGAAAAGTCAGGTTTTACAAGAATCAAATGATTAAGTAATCTGAAAAATTTCAGCCGATTATTAAAGTTGAAATGCAAAGTAGTTGGCCTACAGCTAAATAAATCATTGACAAATGCTTTTTGAGTGACAAAAAAGATGACATCTTTAATTATATTTTATTTGAATTTGCAATATGAACAAAAGAAGAGCTTTCTTCAAAGTAATAAAAAAAAAAAAATCTTTTTTCCTCTGTGTTCAGGTTTCATCCAAGTGAAAATCATGAGACAAACATGAACAATTACTGTATGAATTTCTACATTGGGTCTAATATCCTCGTCTTTGTTGTTATCACAACATTTCAACCATTTTGCTCCTCCAGCCTTTTTCAGGCATCTGTTGATCTGGGTAACCTTGAGAGATTTTCAAACTGAACCTATTATTTAATCTATGGGAGCAGATAATCTTCATTCCACTGTCCATGTCTGAAGAGGTCTTGTCTTGTTCTTCAGTACTTTTCAGTTATTGCTCATAGAGATTGAACTCACAATTACTATGCCACCAAATTCACAAATTCAAAAAAGCCAGAGGGACCAACAGCTGGGATGCTTTGCAGTCCAAATGTAAATAATAACCTGCAACAACACTTCATAGATACAAAACACAAAAACATTTAATTTTGTTCTTGAATATATGCACAATGTTTAAGAAGATACATTTTTATAACTTCCAGTTACTAAATTGACACTTAACACTAAAAATATTGGCTCTTAGTGTCAAAGGTTATGTTTGAAACTAAATTTCAACTGGAGAAGGTGGCAATTTTCATTTTTAATAAAAAGTACTCTTAGAAAAATGAAAACCAGAAACTAAGTTGACTATCATCTCTGTCAGCAAGCTGAGATGCTGCAAGGTCAGAGGAAATTGTTGAAAGAAAATGGGTATTGACAGAAAGCAGGGTAAAAAAGGACAGTGGCCTGCATTGATGACCTTTAAGCATATTTTTTAACTTCAACATTCTCCTCCTCACATCAGATAATATGGCACAAACAAAATACTTCAGGAAAGAAAAGAGGCTATTCAGCATTATTAAACTCTGAACCCCCACCCCCAAATCAAACAGAGCTAAATTCTATTCTGAAAGCCCAATAAAGGCTTGGTAGCAATCAAACCTTGCTGTAAAAGAGCATGTCTTTTTAGCTGCCTACTTTGGCACAAGTTGTATTTAATTTTTTTCTTCTTTTTCAAGAGAATATCATACAAATTAGTAGGCAATTTTAGATTCCATTTCTCAAAGTTGATAACATTTATGTAAAGATTGAGAATCCAATCAAATGATATTGGCTTAAATTTGCACAAAATGTTTTTTTTAAGGTTGAGAAAATTAACTTTAAAAAAGATGTAACATAGCAGACATAAATGACAAAAAGTCTACATAACATTTACTTGATTTCAACCTGTAAAATTTAATTCACAGTTCTGAAAAAAAAAAAATTCATTAAGAAGTTAGTATTATCTATTTAAGCAATTCCAAAAGGCAGACAAATTTTCTGCCAAGTAGATAAAAAAAAAAAACTAAGTCTTATGTAGGAACAAATTAATTTAGAAAAATTGTTGTTTAATTGAAGATCAAATACAGATAATTTCTCTGGTTACAATTTATCTCCTTTGTAATTAAAAATGAGCTACATTCAACTTTAACCTCACTGCATTTGTGTATATTTTTGACTAAATAGCAAGGAAAAGCATTTAAAATGTCTGAATGCATAAAAAACAGGTAAAACTTAAGAATTAACTCAAGACCTACTACCTGTAGAAACTGGTTAGCTTTCTTTTTTCTGGAGATGGGTAAGGTATATTAAAGTAATGTCTTGATCTCAACAAGAAATAAAAAACAGTCACTAACCTACATTGCACCATGCTGCAGCAAGTATTTAGAGCAGATAAGATCAGAAATGAAACATACAGATATTCATCTACAAAGAAGTGTACAATATAAGAATGGTAGCCACAGTAAAGATTAAGTCATTGAGTTTTCCTCAAACATTAACATAAGTCCTTGCTACAGTGTAACCCGGATATAAGAGAGTTGTCGGGACCGGAGAAGAAGTCTCTTATATCCGGGTTTTGTCTATTTTATATACATTAACACAAGCTCTAATTTGGGACCAGAGAAAATCTCATATCCGGGTTACACTGTATTTCAACAGTTTTCTGTTAATCTGTTCAAATAAGTACTGATGACCTTACATTGGTTAGGCACCTGTGTTACTCTCAACATGGTTAACAGATTTCAGATTACTGTCTAGTTGAGAAAACCAAGTATTTAAAACAAACATGGTTAGGGCTGGGGGTCCTTCCTATGTCCCCAAGATAGTAAATAGCCTGAACATGGTTCAATGTAGCTGCTGTTCACTGACATAGCCAAGCTTGTTCAAGCATTGGGTTAGGTTGATGTGGGGTTGACAAAGGAAGAGGAGAGTTGAAGAACTGGTAGAAAGGAGCCTTGACAGACTTACCGTATTTTCTTGAGGATAATATGACCCTGTGTTTCTGAAGCTAAAGACAGGGAATAAATTACATCCTTGAGTATAATACAACCCTGTAGTACAGCCATCCCTACGTATTTTTTTTTTTAGTTGTACCATATTATCCATTAAAATCTCAATGTTATACATATATTTCTCTCTAAAATATTTAATTTTTCATGATACTATAGAATATAAATGAACTGGATGTTTAACCATTGCATTTTTCTTCTAATTTCCATTTCAAAACTTATTTTTGAATTTTGGGGAAAAGGTGCTAACTAATATTTTAAATATTTTTAAATCCACATTGTAATATTTTGTGATTTAAAATTATGCCATTGTATACTATATAGCGGCATAAATTATGTTGAGGTTGTTTATGTATCTGCTTTGCATAGTTTTATTCTTTCAAATCATTTGATGTTTTCAAACTGGATACTTTGTGTCAACAAACGGAGGATGATCTTAGAGCATGGAAATTATTGTCCTATTTTTCAAGTGGGAAAAAAAAAAAAAAAAAAAAAACTTACATAATTTATACATTGGTTAAGCCTCTGTTGTAACATTAATGTTATCAAAACATGACGGATCTTACATATTCTCTTTATTAATTTAAAAATCAATTTTGGCATTCAATTATGCTGATTCACAAAGAACAAATATTGCCAACATATCAAATACCTTGTTATCAACACCTACTTATTTTGCTTTATTATCTATTGCATTGAGTGTATTTGTAATCTTGTTGTTTCAAATAAGAGTTTATTTTTTTTTAAGCCAAGTAAAAATTTCTGAAAATGTGTACTCGTGTATAACATGACCACCCTTTTTTTTCATCTTTAATTTTCATCCCAAATTCCTCTTATTATGCACAACAAAATATGGTTTAATTAGGTAAGGTGATTCTCACTGGTTAATTCCTTCTTGCTGGAAACAGAGTCACATCGTGACCAGTGTTCCTGAGAGGAACTCCTTTATATGAAGGCATTTATTTTGGGAAAGGCAGAAGTGACAGTTCAGAATGGGGAAAGGTGGTTTGGGTAAGCCTCAGAGAACACAAGAGACATGTAAAAAACAATTGGTGAGAAGAGTTCATCCCAATCCTATTCAGTAACATGTGTCCATATTTGTACGTGGATATGAATCACATCCCCACCTCCCTATTCTGTATTGGTAAATTTTTTCTTTTTTTTTTATTAGTTTCAGTCACCCACCCTGGGTGTGTCATTCTTTACAGTCAATTATGTTATAACTATTCAGAGTAAGTGACTATCAAATTTTCCAATTGTAACAGTTTGAATTTTGATGGGTGTATTTTAGGCAACAAAATTATATATTTGTAAAAATGGGGTTAACAGCAAGAGCACAGTAGAATGGTACCAAAGAAGATTACCCAAATGACAAACTGGTTACAAATTTATTTGTGATTAAACAAGATTTCATACAAGAGGCTTTCTTCAAACAATCAGTCTTAAACTTAAAATCTATCTATGAGAACATGCTGAAAAAAAAAAAAGAAAAAAAGAAATGGATTGAACTGAAAAATATTTTCAGCACTCTCATATACAAAGTATGGACATGTTTTTACAAAGCCTAAAAATCAACCATAATGCGAATGGAAAATATTTCCCCAAACATATTTGCAATTTCGTAAAAAAAAAAAAAAAAAAAAAACACAAATGTTATTTAGTTTAATTGAAGGTTATGAGATTTATGATAGTCAAATGGTTACAATATCAAAAACATTTTGTAAATATCTTCATTTAGACATTAGTCAAACATTGTTAATTAGTAACAAATCACAATATTTACAAAAAATCTGCATACCAGTTGTTCTTAAACTATTTTTATAGTCTTTAAAAAAAAAAAAAAAAAGACAATAAGAATGTCACCTGTATATAAAACATTTAAAACTAAAATTGTAAATCTGGCAGTTTCATCATTTAATGATGACATTGAGAATTTTGTCAATGTTCTCAAAAATGAACAAAGAGGATTTAAACAATGTCAGTCAATAATTGATTTATCTTCAAACAGATACCTACACTTACTTTATAGCTATTAGGTTAAAAAAAAAAAAAAAAAAAAAAAGAGAATTACAAAAAAGTCTTTAAAATTTTACAATGTTAAAAACATACAACTAGATCTTACCTGGTAATCTGTTCATGTTAACCCCCTGTGTGGATAAACCAATTCCCATGTATCTACAAAAAAATATATATTTATATATATATAAATTTTTATATATATATATATAAAAGCCAAACAGAATCCACAAAAAGACTATGAAAAGTTAAATAAGGAAAGAAATTAAGATATCTTAAGTTTAGCTCATACTTATAGGGTAGGGGAGTCAACAATACATTCACATATTAAAACCCTAAATAAAATCTTCCTCCCTCTAAGCATGCTTCAAACATTTTCTTCATCATCAAGGAATCATTTAAATACACAAGTAATGGACAGCCACCTGATTTTGAACATTTCTATTTCATTGGAACATTTTCACTGTGCTCTCTACAATTCAATGTCTTATTTTCCTTTGGTGATTATAGAATGTTGAAACATCATTGGAGTATTGTCAGTAAATCAAGTGTTATTCACATTCTAAATTCAAGGCTGAAAAACCATCACTTGCTGAATAAAGCTACAACAAATAATATTGCAAGATTATATCTGCTGATTTCAGCTGATAGTTTTTTTTTTTTTTTTTTTTAATTCCCTTTTTTGATATATACTTCAAAAACTTTTTATATTTTTAATTTTAATAGAATATTAAAAATAGTTGTTAATCTGATCCTTATTGCTAACACTAATAAAATAGGAAAGTTGTACAGAACAAATGGACTGATGGCAAATGACATTTTTAAATAATGAAATTCTTGAGCATTAAAAGCACTTTACTCATAAATATTTTGTATTAGAATGGTAAAGTTATGACCCATTTTCCTGTCAATACACAAAAGCTTTCATTTTTATTTTTAAATTAACCTTTTCATATAAACAATTGCTGCAGTTTCAAATATGACTGATTTTGGTGAAAGAACCTGTGAATAAATTGTAATTTTATATTGTTATCATTCCATGAATTGTAATTTCCTCTTTGTAAAGATATTTTCAAGTTGTGAAGAACAAAACTATCATGAATTTCATTCCCAATTATCCATTTACATATGAATAAAAATACCAAAGGAATAATAGAATGAGTGAATGGCAGTATGAAACAAGCTACCCACATTTGGTTGGATTTGGGATTAAAAGGTTTTACCATCGTTATACTTTCATTATTAATCTTCAGTTAAGAGGATGCAAATACAGACAATTTACAAATGTAAAATAAAAGAAAGAATTTGCTACTCTGGAAAATAAAAAAAAGATAAAGCTTGATAAGCTTAAAGTCTGATTTAGAAAAAAAAACTGATGAAAAAAAAATTAAATTACCTAAAGATTAATTAACTTCATAAAAATCATACGATAATTAAAATGACATTGAGCAAGTAACATAATGACTATACATATCCAAGTTCTTTAGTTATTTTCTCACTGGTAGTATATAATTGATAGAGATAATTTATAAACAAATTTCCATGCTTAATATAAGAAGAATAAATTTTATCTTGAATGTAATAGTCTGTATTTGGGAATAAGTTTTAACATAGTAAAAATAAAACAAATTCTGAAATGAAGTTTTTATTATTCCATATATTTTTCAAACTGCTCTCCTCATATAGTTTTGAACACATTTCAGCCAATATATTCTTTAGCCATCTACATTGCATCTTTTACTTTGATGCCTATAATATTGCCAAACTTATAAATACCAATACTGATACCTTACAACATAAATTCATTTACATACACACAAAGACAAAAACAATTATATCCTGGATTAGTCAATAAAAAAAAAAAAATATATATGAAAAAAAAAAAACACTAAACAAATCATCATGAAGTCCCTACCTTTAAAAAAGAAAGAAAGGTGGTGAGAGGTTTCTAAAAAAAAAAAAAAAAAAAAAAAATCATAGGACTACAAGGTGATACAGTAAAACAATAAAGTTAATATTTGAGATCAGCAACTAAATCAGGATTAGTAGAACATGTATGAAATGGTGAAAACATACTAACCCCTCTGTTGATATTGTTTAGCAGCATATCAACCTCTCTATGTTGAAATCTAAATATTTTGAATGCAATTTTATGGCTTCAACTGAATATATTTTGTGCACAATTTTATATTTTGAGTAAAGGTATGTTTTTTTTTTTGTTTTTTTTTTTTTAGATATATAGTTTGTAGATCATAAAAAATGTATTCTTGATAACTTTACTATAAAAATGTATTTTTATATTTTTTTTAGTGCTGCACTGATTGTCATTTTCTTATAAAAATGTATTATTGTATTTTATTATAAAAATGTACTGATTTTTGTTTGGGAGTTCACTAAGTGCTGAACTATTATCCTCACAAATGAAAAGGAAACGAGGCAATAGAGATGTAGTTCTACAGAAAGATGTTGAGAATGGATGAAGTATATGAGCAATGAAGTTTTTAAGAAAAAAAATGGAAACAAAAAGGACGCAGACTTAAAATCAGAAATACGAAGTTAACATTTCTGGGAGACATGAGGAAGAAAGAAAGCTTGGAGAATTTGACACTCACAGAACATACTGAAGGAAACAGTGAGTAACCTAACAAACTTGTATAAATGAATGACAAAACCGGAAATGAGAAGAATAGTAAATAGACATTAAGAGTTACAAAGGATAGAAAGTTGTAAAGGGTCAGAGCACATAAAAGTCATACTTTAAAAAAAGAAAAGAAAGAGAAGACTTCCCAGTATATAGTCTTTCTTTGTCAGGTTAAATTACAGTTTCAATGCATCCAGAGAAAATACAAAAATTGTGTGATTGCTTTCGACAATCCCAAATCAGGAGAAGAAACAGAGTTAATTGATATTAACTTTGAATAGACATGAATGGGAAAAGTTTTCCAGAGCAAATAAAACGAAAAAAAAAATCTGAAAAGAACATCTGTTTTAATGGAATAAAGGGAGACACAAAAACATCACAAATATATGTGAACCTCAGTAGAAAGCTTTTCAAATTCAAAGGTTATAATATACTCCATATTATATTTTTTATTTATTTATATATTTTACATTAATAAATCCTGATATATCACATATTTATTAACTGTAAACAGCCAAGCCATTTTCTCCTTTTTACTTAGCATATTCACTTGTCAGATTTTTATTCTAATAATTTAAATGCTTTTCAGCCTTTTTTCTAATTTTTTTTAAAAAAATGTGTGGGCGTATTTTTAGAAGATGGGTCACAAGAATGCACAGTAATGTACTCGTAGTGGATCAGAAATGCTTTATTAGAAATGGTTTATTGATTGACCTAGTTGTTGGGTCATAAATAAAATTAAAATAAATTTAAATTACCATCATTTTTTTTTTTTTGAAAAAAAAAAAAAAAAGTATTTTTAAAATGCTAATTCTAAAGCTGTATTAAGTTAACAGGTAAATACTTAAAATGATTGCAAAATCAATTAGATTATCAAACTATTATTGAAAGTGATTCAAATGAATTCTTTAAAAAAAAAAAAAAATAAATAAATAAATAAAATGGACAGAAAATTAAATATTTCTGAATCAGAATTGAGTAAGCAAGCCAAAAATAAAGAAAAAATAAAAATGCTGCCAGAAATTTTGGCGCCACTAAAAACTTGCAATTTATGGTCAGTAAACGGATTGGTCAAACTGAGATCGAGATTGCCTGTGCAAGGGCAACAGAATCACATTTAAATAGGGAGTGACTGTGTTGCGTACATGCCAAGATTTTAGTCTTAAGATCTATGAGAATAAGAGAACTGAGAAAGAAATGGCAGGAGAGAAACTGAATGATGTTATACTCCCAGATTCCTTACACTATTAAACGGATTTAGCACTTGACTGAAATCAGGAACTTAAAAATGCAGTTGGTTGAAGAAAAAAAAAAAAAAAAAAAAAAAAAAAAAAAATCGTATATTTCTAAAATATCACTTACTCACTTTTGTTTATTTCGACATTGAATTGTATCATTGTCTCACCCCACCTTACCATAGCTTTCTTGACATTTCAGCTAACCTAATTAATATTTATGAGCATTCCTAAACTCAAAAATCTTGAAGAACCAAAAACATTTTTGCTCTTGTATATAAATACTTGTTACAAAATAAAATCCTTGCACATGGCTTGATAAAGTTAGACAGTGAACAAAACTCGTTAGCTAAGTTTTCCTTTTGTCCTTTTAGATATACTGTACCTGAAATTTTGTACACACAATATATATATATATATATATATATATATATATATATATATATATATATATATATATATATATATATATATATATTTTTACAAAAAAAAAAAAAACAAAAAATGAAATATCTATTAAAATACAAATGCAACATATTTTGAGAAAAGTTCTCAAAAAATTGAATTGTTTTTTTTTTTTAATTATTATTCACTGACCTTTACATTTCTTTATTAAAATTGATAATCAACTTTAAAAAAAAATAACTTGAAAACACTCTTAAGATATGCTTAAATACCAGAATATTTATTTTATTGATAATCATTTTGTCAACTGCTGGAATAGTAAATGAAATTCAAAGTTATCAATCAAGAATTAATATTTTTTTTTTAATTCCATAGTGTTCTTTAAACTTCTGCCTTGAATGACATTACAAAATAAGGTCTTGTATAATTTCATACAAATTTCTCTAAACAAAACAGAAGTAGGCACCAAAATAAAGCCCTTCACTAATCATGTACTTTTGCCATTTCTGCCCTTAGTAAGTTGGAAGCAAGATTTACTTTTATCTGCAAAAGAGATTCTTAATTCATCTTCTGCCATCTTGTTTAGTCTGGACAAAGAGATTTGAGATAAATATTATTTTGAGTTGTTAAAATACAAATTGAAATTTTAACAAACTAGGGAAGAAGCCAGACTCTAGTAATTATTCTTTTGTTACTATTACTACTACATTCTATTGAATAAGCAAATAGCCTATACCAAAGAAAATCTTGGAAAAAATATTTATACTTCAAAATACCAACTAAAGATAATCTAATGGCTGGAATATAAAAAATATAAATTGTTAAAAATATAAGGGACCCTCTGAAAGTAATATCTACTATAGTTTCAGGAAATTACA